TTATCTTTGGCTCTTCCTACCTTCCAATTACATCACTCTGATTTCTGCAGATATATACAGTTGGCAAATGTGTACCACCACCAATATAAGATTTCTATCACCCAGAAAAATTTCCTTATGTACATCTCCATTCAATCTCTCCCCTGTCCAGCCAAAAAACAAACAAAAAATACTTTCTTTTGCTTTTATTTTACTACAGATTATATTTTTCTTTTTTTAATTTAATATATATAAGATGATACAGTATGTATTCTTTTGTGTCTGGCTTCTTTCCCTTAGTATAATGTTTTCGAGATTCAACCATGTTGTTACTGCATCAGTAGTTTGCACCCATTATATGGCTATCTCAAAGATTGTCAACCTTTTTCAGCTCAGTACTAAAATTCTGCAGCACACCAAAATATATATTTTTGGCCGATCTGACAAAAAAAAATAGATATAATTTTGATTCATTCACACCTGACGGCTATTATTGTATTCACTGTTGTCAATTTTTTTATTTGACAAGTTAAGGGAAAAGAGGTCAGTGCCATGACTAAATAGTCAGGTATTGCATGTTTTAAAATTATTGCAGCACACCAGTTGAAAATTACCAGGCTATATCACAATTTGTTTATTCATTTCACCTATTAATGTTTCCACTTGGAGACTATCCTATATAATAAAACCCTAATATGCAAATCAACTAAACGGTGGAACGACAGGTTGCTATGAGGTGCACTGACCACTGGTCGGGGGCAGCTCCTGCACTGAGCATCTGCCCACTGAGACAGAGGCCACCAGCCAAGGCTGGTGTCAGCGGGGGGCCCACCAATCGCTCCACCCACTGGTTGCCCCACAGAGGGCCCTGATCACTGGTCAGGCCTACGGACCCTACCCTATATATTGGGAACAGTCTCTTAGATTTAAAAATTAAAACCTGGCAAGGCTACTCTAACACTGAAGAAACAGGATGATGAAGCAATGACATGCATGGACTCTGGCTTGCACATTTTGTGGTCAGCCCTGATTCTGACACTTATAACTGTGTGCCAAAGCCAATTACTTAACTTCTCTCTGCTTCAGTTTTTCCACCCATAAGATGGGGAAAACGGTACTACTGCCTCAGAAGCATCATGTTATGTACTACATCTTATAATCAGGGCAAAAAAAATGTAGCTGCCCATACAACAGCAAGATGTCTTTCATCTGTATGAAAAGAATGGTCACTGGTGCATGCAGCATTCCAGATTGTGAGAGGGATGTCTGACTGCTGGTTTAGGCCTGACATCCCCCGAGGGGTCCCAGATTGCTAGAAGACACAGGCTGGGCTGAGGGACAGCCCCCCACACCCCACCCTTGCACAAATTTCATGCACCAGGCCTCTAGTTGTGAATAATACCACAATGAACATTCATGTACAAATCTTTACATGGACATAGGTTTTCATTGGTCATTTAAAAACCTCTTTTCGTGAAGTACCTATTTAACATATATTTTTGCTTATTTTTAATTGGGTTGATTCTCTCATTATTGAGTCATAAAAATTTTTCAAATCTTTTAAATGCAGTCCTCTGTCAGATGTATCCTAATATTCCTGGAATACAGTCTAATGATACTTCCCAAGAAGGGATAAATACTGTGGTCCTTAGATATCTAAAAATATCTTTATTTCCCTTTAGTCGTATTTTAAATTTTGACTAAGTATAGAATTCTAGTTTGGGCACCATTTTTTTACTACAACTTTGAACATTATCTTCTAACTTTAGGATTAGTGTTGAAAATATAATACCTGTCTGATAACCAGTTTTGGTTGATTTTCCTTTCCCTCTTCAGAAACTTTTAAGTTCATTACTTATCCTTCACAACATTAAGTTTGACTAATTTTCTACCTTCTTGTTGGGCTTTTTTCAATAACTGACCTAGGCACGTGGGCCCTATCAACTTGAACACTGACTGATGTTTTTTGTTAATCCTCACCCAAGGATTTTTTTTTCATTAATTTTTTTAGAGAGAGTGGAAGAGAGGGGAAGAGACAGAGAGAGAGGAATATCATTGTGAGGGAGACACATTCATTGATTACCTCCCTCTCTCGACTTGGTCGGGGCCAGAGATGGAGCCTGCAACCAAGGTACATGCCCTTGACCAGAATCGAACCATCCCAGGGCCCACGCTCTAACCATTGAGCTAAACCAGTTAGGCTGACTAATGTTCTTCATCACTGGTAAGGACCATAGCCTCTAGTGTCATGCTACCACCATACTAACTTCAGGCCATTGGAAATGGTTTATAACTTACCTGATATGAGGATTTAATTAATTAATACAGTTCAGTAAATAGCAGAGCATTATATTATTACTGTTATTACCATTGGTTGTATATTAGTATTATCAGTAGTATAATCACCATATTAGTAGTAATAATATTAGTATCACTTTTGTAGTATCCTCTCATCTGTTCTCCCTTTCTGGGATACCAATTTTTTCTATATTTTTTACTGATTTCAGAGAGGAAGTGAGAGGGAGAGAGAGATAGAAACATCAATGATAAGAGAGAATTACTGATCAGCTGACTCTTGCACACCCCACATTGGGTATCAAGCCCGCAACCCAGGCATGTGCCCTGACTGGGAATTGAACCGTGACCTCCTGTTTCATGGGGCAACACTCAACCACTGAGTCACACCAGTCGGGCTGGGATACTAATTACTGACATGCTGGACACTTTGAGTTGACTTTGTTGTTTCTTTTTTTCTCTCTTGTGTTGTCTCTGTGGTTTTGTTATGTTTCCTGGATAATCTCATTGAGTTTATCTTTCATCACTAATATCAATATGTTTGGTAATTATGTTTTTAACTTTTAAGGACACTTGTTCTTCTGACTGTTCCTTTTCATTGCATTCTGTTCTTGCTTTCTACGTGCAATTCTCCTTGACGCTATCTAAGAATACATATTAGAGTTTGGGGATTTGTTCGCTTTTTTTCATTGCTTTCTTTACATAAGCCTTTGCTCATTGACTGTATTCTGCCAGGAGAGAGGAACCTCAGAGGGTTGTGTCACCTGGGAAAGCTCGACCCCAGCCCCGGAACTCCAGCCCTGGAGCAACATTCATATGCCCAAGAATACACCACAAGCTATGGAGGTGGCTGACTTCAAGGGCTCAGGAGGAGTTGGAACCTCAGCATCTCACAGGTACCAGCAGACCCGAAGACCAGAGGACCCTCACTGAGTGCCACTCTGTGTTAGACCCTTGGGTCCTTGTTGAAACCTGAGAGAGGGACAGCCCCACGGACCTCCTCCTGGCAGCCCTGCTGACTAAAGGCTTGGCATCAAATTAAATTTGGCTTGAAGAAATGTTTCAATTTGTATACATCCAAGATTTTTGAGTTAGTCACTACACCTATTATCTACATATCCTTTTTCCCCCTAAACTATCAAGTCCCGAATTCACATCTTTATTTCTACTTCCCTTTAAAAAAGAAAGATCTCTATATTCCCAAGTTCCTTGAATTTCCATGTACCACTCTTGTACATTATCTCTCCCTCAGAATCTGCTTTGAACTATACTTTCCTCCTTAAAACTTTCCTTACAATCATGAGCAAAGTAGTGTATTTGTTGTATTCCAACTCTAGGTTTTATTATGATTGCACTACAGAATATATTGTTCCATTAACA